GTGCTAACGGGTATTTTCGGTAAACAGTTGGTTTGCTGGTGGTATTTGTCGTTCTTGGACTGTTTATGATCTGGTCGTATGAAAAGGTGCGTGCTCTCATCCCTGCACTCGACACACTTCCGCCGTCTCTACCTCAAAGTTCGTGACCTTCCCTCCCAGGAAGTCCGTTCTTTAGACCTCCCTTGATGTATTCTCTCCGTGCATCGACGTTGCCGAGTCCCGGACTGACTGAATGCTGTCACAGATTGTCCTCACCCCTCCTGGCTTCGCAAGAGACGTGAGTGCCTTTCTGTGCTTTTCTAGATCGCCTCCTTACTTTATTATTTCCAGTATGTACAAAAAACTCCCGCGCCAGCAGGCCACGGCGGCTTTCACACTTTCTGGGAGTCCGAGAGCGAAGCTGAACTCGCCGCCGCACGCTACGGTCCCCCACAACAATCCGCCCCTCTTCCAACTCCCACGCCGCCCCAGTCTCGACGTTCGGAGTCACACCACAAACGCAGCACCTCCGACTCTGCACCAAGGATTCCCGAGAAAGTTCTCAATGGTACCGCGAGCGTACGCCACCATGGCTCGCAGAACGGCCATGCGCCTTCGCCCACCAAGGAGAGCTTTGGCACTACGGATAGGCCTCCCGCGGCGGCGGGAGCGCACTCGGCCGTCACGACGGAGAAGGGTCATAGGAACGGACATGCTCAGCCAGCCCCGATTTCGGCGAAGCACACTCGCCGTCCGCCCAAGACGCCGGTGCTTCGCGATGAGTACAGGTATTGCTACAAGGACGGCTTCTTGAAGCCCCATCGCGCACACCATTGTCGTGCCTGCGGAACGGTGAGTGCTATGTATCCTTGGTCAAGCAGGAGTCTGACGTTTATCGGCTGTAGTGTGTACTCAAGTACGATCATCATTGTCCATGGATCGGCCAGTGTGTGGGAGCGCGGAACCATCGAGTAAGCACCTGCTGTGCATATGTGCGCGTTCGAGTTCGTCCTGACGGTCCTGCAGTTCTTCTACATCTTCGACTTCTGGGCCTTCCTCTTCTGCTCCTTCACGTTCGCCTCACTTGTTGGCCTTGTGGGCCAGGCTGCTTCCAACCGACCGGACTTCAGTATTGACGGCCAGCACATCGCCATCATTGTGATGTACGTTCTTTCCGCCCCTGACGCGCTCACTTGCCTACCCATGCACCTACTGCTGACACAATTGCGATCACCTAGATCCGGATTTTTCATGATTTTTACCTTCTCCCTCCTCGTTGCCCACGGTATCCTTATTGCTGGCAGCTTCTCGACCGTGGAGCAGATGGCCGTCCAGCGCACCACAGATCGCGAGAAGCGTGTGATGGCACGCCTCCATAGTCGGTGGGCTATCAGGTGCGTCTGCTTCGCCTTGTTGCCGGCCCGTCACTGACCTCCCGGGTGACCAGCGCGAGAAAAGCGACCAGGAAGCTGTGGGACGCGGAATGGGGGCGACTTGGCAAAGAGGGTCACATGTGGTGGCTGGGCGGTACGCGAAACAACTGGGAGGCGACGATGGGCGACAAGGCCTGGATGTGGTTCTGTGAGTACTTGCCCGGTTGCTGCATTCTGCATTTTGCTTCAATCACCCGCACCCTTCCATACCCTTGCCGTCGTATCTTCGTCAAGTTGCTGACGACGTTCCTCCCAGTGCCCATCGGCCAGAGCCCAGACGATGGGATGAGCTACGTCGTCAACCCGCGTTTCGACGCTGAGGGCCGCTGGCTCCCTCGCAGCGAATGGCCCGCCGAGCTCCGCTAGCCCTTCTCTACCCCCATTGATCCTCACTGCTTGCGGTCGTAAGTTCTTTCCCCACGCACGTCCCACGACGCGCTACCCTTCCATTCCCACATAGACACCTTATCTCGACGACATCGCGACGACCCCGTCTGAAGATCTGACGCCCGGCGCTTGGCGCACGATCTGCGGCACCCATATGAATACACACGTACTTACATATATATCAACCATCTATTTACCACCCGGACGGTCACGCACCAGGACACCACTGCCCCCGATACGCGCTCTCCCCCCTGCTGTCGCCTCTCTACGTCTTTGCTGTCCGTATCCTCCGAGTCATATTGTAATGCGCCCGAGGGCTTGTTCATGCGCTTGAATGCCTTGCGGCCTTGGACGTCGTTTGCCTACAGTCCCAACCAGGGGTGATCGCACAAGGACGACAGGAGGTACGTGGGACTCGCAACCGTTGCATTAAAATGGGCGCTGGGATACAAGATGGGCGGTGAGGATGTACAGACAGCAAACACCACTCCCGGTCGCTTTCCACGTTCGCGCCCGCCCGGTCGACGTCTATGGGTCTCTCCGCGTGCTGCGTCTCGTCGAAGAGGACGGAGGTGAGGTGGGCGACGCGGGATGTGGATCCGTGAAGGTCGAGCGACCGTCCTTGAGCGCAAGGGATCTCCGACTCTTCTTAGGCGATCCAGACTGTTGGAAGGGGGCCTCTTCGCGCTCGTCGACAGCAGTGGGAGGAGCGTTGCACATGAGATCGTCAGAGAGGGAGGGGGAAATTCGGAGCCGAGGGTGGTAAGGGGAGCACGAAGGCAGACGAGTCCATGGTCGGCAGGAACGAGCTTGGGCAGAGGAGCAGCTTCAGCGGGCGGCTCCGTGGGCTAGAAAGAGGCGTCGAGATCATCCGCGAAGTCGAGGGAGCCGGGAACTCGGTCGGGAGCGCATGGCGCGTAGGACATCCGCGACATCGTCGTCGTTGGAGCTGGAAGACACGGACGTCGTTGCAGCCTCGGTGAGCTTGAGCAGACCTCTACGACCGTCGTCTGCGTCCGCGGTGTCATCTTCGTCGTCTTCACCGACACCAATCTCAAACTCGTCCGCAGAGGGGGCAGGAACGGGAAGATTTTGGTCGACGGTCGACTCAGTATCCTCGTCTTCGCCGGAAAACAGCGACCAATCGGCCTCATCGAAGACCGAGACATCTTCAGAGCAGCATCGCCCGTGATTGCTAAGAAGATGCTGCGACGAGCACAACCGCGACGAAGGTCCCGCGTGCGCCGCCGTGGCGTCGCCCAAGAGCCCGAACTTGGTCGTCGCATACATCGGAGCCGAGCCTTGCCCACGACTTGAACCAGGCCTAAGCAGACGGCGATGACGGCGCAAGGAGCTTCAATAGCGAAATCGAGAGCGTGAATGCCCGGACGGTGTGGGGTATGGCGGAGGGGGCGGACTCCGGAGGTGAACATGATATGGCGGAGATGCGTGGGGGATGTGTACATGCGGGAAGGGGTGGGTAAGGCCTGTAAGGTATGGTATGCAGGTGCTCATGCAGGTGCGGTCGGGTAGCCAAGCCTGGGGCAGAGCAGAGATAAATCTGAGGCAGAGATGTTGGCGGTCTGACCGGTTTCTTGGGTTAGTTTGGTTCTGTCATTGGGGCAAACAAGGCCACCTAGCGGTGAGCACCCTGACGTCGCAGAGGATTTGTTTGTGCGAAAGCTATTGATTACCGACTGCAGATGACGAATTGTTGACACGCTCTTCGACAACGCTGAAGGAGTGAGAAGACGCGACGTCATGGGCGGATACAGGCCTGGCATGCACGGCTGGACGGCGCCCGCAAGGACACGCGGCGAGTGGACTCGGTACCACGACTGGTGGTGGCCATACTTGGCCTAAACTCGAGAACGAGGAGGAGAACGAGGAGACGAAGAGGGACGTAGGCTCGATCATCCATCCGTTTTCGTCGTCCCTCCTCAAACGGCTGGTCGAACTGGTGGGGGTTTTGGCAGGCGCACCATAAAAGGAGAGCACGTGACGTGAGTGCCCTCCCCTCGCTCCACTCCCCCGCCCAAACGGGCTCGTTGGGGCACGCCGCTCCCCCAGGCATAACGGGTCGTGACGACGGCTGCCTCGGGAGGCGTCACGGAGGGCGCGCGACCCATCTCTCGCGCGCGACCAGCTTCGCGCGCGACAAGCCTCGCGCGCGCGACCAGTCCTCCGCGCACGCGTGCGCGCCGCCTCCGCCACGCGTCGACGCCCCCGTGCAGCTCCGAGGCCAAAGTCTGTGGATACGTGTTGTGCATGCATGTTACATCTTGAACGAAATGTGTATTACCAATGGTATACGTTTCCAAAGTGACTATCTAACGAATTTGTGGAAATTGGGGCCGGAATGATAACAGCTGACGAAGTGCGAGACGCAGGCGGGGCCTTTGCGGCTGAGGATACGCGAGGTGTAGACGGGGGAGGCATAACAGCGGAGGCTGCGCGAGGCTTCACTGTCCCTTGAGGACGCCAAATAGACGCCAGATCTCGCACGAACAGCTGGCGCAGAGAGTCGGGATGGGGCAGGTCAGACGCGCCGTTGAGCAGAGGAGGTGGGCGTGATGGGCGGAATATGTGGAGATTATACTCAAGGAAGTTTGAGTGAGCTTGCGCTTGCGAGATTGCGTGCCGGGGAATAGGTTCAGCTTCGACTAGTATCGGAACGTAACGGATCTTGCGCCGAGGTACTGGACGACGTTTTGGCAAAGGCTGAGATACGAGAGACACTTGCGTGGGGGAGGAGCGGAGAGGCAGCGACTGGAGAGGTACCTGCGATGGTGAGGATGGAGCACGGCCTTGTTTGCGAGCACGGCCTGGTTGCGGGGCGCGGCCACGTCGCGGAGCGCGGCCACGTCTAGAAGCGCTTGGGGTAGTAGAGGGCTCGGCCTCAGGAAGTCCAATTTTGAGCACTGAACACATGCCGGCGAAGGCAGGAGCAGTCGACAGAGCAGGTCTACCAGTGTTAACGATGGACAACTCCAGGGTATGGTGGTGGTGGTGGTTGAGCGATGAACTGCAAGCTGACGACGTGTCCTGGCGCTCGCCATCTGGCGCTTTCGGCCGCTTCGTCTGACTTCCCCCAGGAGAACTGCTGCGAGCACGCTTAGGCTGTCCATTGGGATTGGTGCTGGATGAGGCCATCTGCTCGCAAGTCTTTTCCGATGGATTTGAGGTGAGGAACATCTTCTCCAAGAGCGCCATAAGCTCGTTCCCATACAGATCCCAGTTCGGCCATCTGGTCTGAAGAGTCCGGCGCGCTTTGTCCGTGGGTAAGCATCCGTGAGATACCAGTTCTTCGATAAGCTTGTCGCCCAGGATTGCGGTCGAGCCAAGGACTGAGATCGGGGTATCGCGTTGGTGAACCATTGATCGCCATGCTATGAGCTTGCGCTGAGCCGCACGATCAGGTTCAGTTTTCTTCGGCATGCGAGACTGCTTCTCAGCTTTTGGATGAGAGGGACGAGATAGATCAAGTAGTGACGGATCACAGATGTCACAACAGGACACAGTGAGCTCTGACGGAATAGATGTCAGTGTAAGGCGCACATCTGCAGTGACAAGAAACGAAGGAGAGGTACTGACTGCTAGTATCAATGGGGCTCTCGAAAACCCTCCCGCATACCTTGCGCCGACAAGTAACACTCTGTACGAAAACAAGAAGACCCTCATCGTCACTGTCAAGATCGAGGGGTGGCTGCGGGCCGGATGGTATGGCATCATCCTTTGCGGAGCTTCCTCGATTGACACCGTGGTCGTGTGCATATGTCTGTACTAGCCTTGCATCCTTCTTCAGCTTGGGGTTCGGTGTAACAAGATTGACGCTATACCACTTGCGCTCGACTAGCAGGATGGCGACGCCAACTTCACCAGCACCTCTTGCGGTTCGTCCGGCCCTCTGCATCCAGGTGCTAAGCTTCTTGGGCTTCTTCAACTGAACCGTGCGTACGACGCGCGGGTTGTTGCTACCCTGGGCCAGTTGGAGAGCGCATTCAGCATCCGACACGGCAAAGAAGGGCCAAATCCTCTCACCATCCCGGCAGCTTCAGTACAGACCAGAACCCGGATGTTACCATCGCGGAACTGCGGCATTGCCGCGGCGCGGTAGTCCTGAGAGAGTTGTGCATTGAAGGGCCGGACACATTCCAGGTCTTCAATAATCATCGTGGCGACTTGGGTGGCAGTACCAAGAATACTACGCAACCTTTCATTGAGATGATCGACAACCTGGGAGCCTAGCTCAACATCATCGGCGAATATCTGGGTGATGGGAATGTCCGATGCGGAGGCGATTGTGTCGGGAATGATGAAATTGATGTCCTGCAGACTGTTCAGAGGGTACTCTAGAGCGCGTATGATGATCGAGATATTGGGGCGGTCGTTGCCCTCGTTGATCCAGCGAGCTCGATGAGACGATTGACCGAGGTGGAGTGAGGAGTGGATAGCTTTTCTGACACGGGGAGTTATGGTGGCGGAGACAGCAATAATGGGGGTGTTTGCCGGAAGAAAGGGGCGGATCTTGCCTAAAGTACCGTACTCTTTGCGAAAGTCGGCCCCCCAGTGAACGGTGCAGTGCGCTTCATCAATGAAGAGGGACACTATGTTACGAGTGAATCTGCGATTTCGTAAGAAGGTGTCGACGAAGGTCTTCGACTGAAGCATCTCCGGTGAGATAAGTATGATCTGGTGTTCCATATCGAAGATTTCCTGTTGAGCCGTACCATACAGGTTCAGTTATTTTATCACTACGACACTCAGACAACGGGACATGCCTTGATTATCTTAGGATCGTGGCATGCTTTGTTCTCGCCATTGATAGCAATCGCAGAGAGACCATAATCGGTCTTGAATGTGCGTGTCTGGAATGGAGCTGCAGTTAGACCCAGAACAAACAGGATGTGCTAACCCATACCATCTCGTCCTCTAATGTGAGCAATGGACATATCATCAAGGTCGCTCTGCGCTCAAATGACGGCCAGACGTGGGGTCCAGCGGCAATGGCGGTCTTCCCCGCGCCCGTGGGAGCTTGGACAATGATGTCAACGCCTTCGAGCTGTGCCCGGATGGCATTGACCTGGAAATCCTTCGGGTCGTTGGGCCAGCGGAACTTGTTGCGCAACATCTCGCGAAGTAGCTGGATGTCTTCACTCGAGAGAGGGCGACGAGATATGAGGTCTACAAGCGGCCCCTTGGATCGCATATAGCGAGAGCAGGGACCATGCACCATTGTCAGAGGTGTACAACACAGTGTACGAAGGTCGAGCTAGAGGTGATGAGGTATAGATGAGACTTGTGCGAGGTCGCGCGCAGATGGGCGCTTACAGCAAGGCTCACGCGTTCTCCCCTACGACATTGTCCGCTAACCTTCCCCCACAATGTCGTTTGGCAGTGAGTACACATGATGTCATAAATAGAAGCCTGGCTGATCATGATTGAGAACAGTCAGTTCTCTGACAGAGTGGGAACAAGATACACGCACTCAACCGGAAGCACCTTGTCCACCGTCCCACACAGCAGGTAACCAGTCGTCCAACTTCTGGTGCCACAATTAACTCCAGGAACAACGCAGGACATACTGACAATGCACACACCTCAGGCATGGTTTGGAACACGTGTCCCGGCCAACCACCACCACGCATACAGCCACCCCGACACGCCGGCATGAATGACCCATGGCGTGCAACCCCTTTGCCCTCAGTTGATGATGCTCCCAGCCCAGGAATGTCCATTCGGTTCGAGGTACCAATACGAGGACTAATGGTAGTGCAGGCTCTCCCGTCCATGAAGAAGAGTTTGCAACTCCACAGCTACGCCAAGGTGCGAGCATGACTCGGCGGTATAGACGTCTGGAAGACGCTATCGAAGCTCGTGTGCACACTGGACTTCTCGAAGCAGACCAACACATAAAGGATGCAGCTGCGAAGGAGGCGCAGTGTTACATCAACGTTCTCACTATGCTAGAGAAACAGGGTCTTACGTGGGGTGGCTTCATCCAGTGGATCTCCGGTGCAAATGGCCATGGAAAAGCTCGCTGGGATGGTTTCTTCTCTTGCCCAAACGATGTCGTCAATGTCCTGGACCTGTGGGTGAATCAGTCATCCGACATTGGGAGAAGAACGGTAGAAGAATGGGCCTTGGGCGTGGTCGCGCAAGTCGTTGAAGCAGAGGCTAAGGTAACAACGGAGAGCAACTTACTGCAGACCAGAACCCAGCCGTTCACGAACGAGCGCATTCTCTCCTTCGACCTTACAAGTCTCCACAACCGCATCTTCGGCATGTGCCCGGCGATGACCTCCCTCCTCACTCGCTTTGCGGAAACCCCTCGGCAGCACCAGACCGTAACGGCACGGAGTGAGGCTAGTCTGGACAACAACAAGGATGACCCATTAGTGATCCGTAAGAAACGAGTAAGTGCGCACATACCACTGGTCATAATTCCTGGTGCTGAACGTCGTTTACAGCGAATCGGGACAGTTCTCGTTGATCTGTTGGGAGAAAGAAGTCAGAAAAATAGCCTCATCAAGCACATCAACGCACTCTACTTCTATGCCACCGGGACATCGCGCCAGTCCATCTCAGTCGCATCAGCTCTCGGAATATGCAGCAGCTACACCACCATCGTTGGGAGCACAAAGGTACACCGCAGCTTCGACATGCCACCACCTGGCCTGGAAGAAGACGACGATATCACCCTTGCAGAGCTAGTCAACTCCGACGGTGTGGACGATATCGACCTCGACGAAGGCACTGTCCCAGACCAAGACGACACGGAGCCGGAGCCGGACGACGACCTCGTAGAACCGCAAGCACCACCACCATGGCCTGGGTCGACGATGCGCAGACAAATTGGGGAGAATGACTCACAGGAATCCGGTCCGTCAACAAGACCGCATGATACAATGGATATGGAGGACGCGGGCAATGCAATGGACACGGAGACGGCCGTGGATGCCGTGGATGTAGAAGTGGAGCACCAAGGGGAATGTGGCAGTCGGCCAGCAGTGAACCGCGAGAAGAAGGGCAAGCCAAGCAGACGAGGAAGACGTGAGAGGTGAGTAGTTGAGTGGAGGAGTACGGTCAGGAGATGACTCGAACACGCGCTTGCAGGCAGGTGAAGCCTGAGACGCCCGCGTCTCTCTGGCGGGGTGCGGGACTGCTCCGACGAATAGGCTACTCTTGCCGCTTGGCTGCTCGGAAATTGGCTCACACTTCCCTCGCTGGCTATGTCTATGACAACATCAACGTCGCGTTCAAGGTGTCCGAACAGGTTCTGGGGCATCAGGACACTCTTGAGAGCGGCACATGTGCTACCATCTTCTCGCTGTTTGACGCCTCGCCTGCCGACATGAAGACTGAAGATCTTGTTTCCTCAATCAAGACAGCCAGACCTCTGCAGATGGGCGACCTTCGCCTCACAACTGACGACCTGAAGCTCTTCGACAAGTCTATCACTCATGCTATATTACGTGTCATTGTTCACAGCGACCTCGCATTCTCCAAATTCCGTCAACGCGTCAATGCGACCCTTCCCCCGATGACCTCAAAATCCCTCTACACCAGACATCAATACACCCGCTTCCCACCATGAACATCGACGAGTCTAGCGTAACAGGCAATGCGTCGGTTCTAGACTATATTTTCCGCCGCGAGTTGAAGTTCAATTTCGGCGCAGCCAGGTTCCGCGAAGTCGTACGACTGGTCTTTGGCGACCAGCTCTCCCTCGCCCGCATCCGCACTCTCATCATGCACCGCATTGGCCACGACACACTTGCGACATCCCATGCCAATCTTGTTCCCGGCCCTGGCCTGTTCCATTACCAGCTTGCTCTCGTGCACGGTATACTTGAGACTCATTTCGGCGAGCCCAACCCTGAGTCTGGTGGAGAAGGTACCCTCAATCCGGCAAGTATCTCATTCTTCAACAGTGTACTCGGGCGCAAACCCATCTTCCTGTCCTCCCTGCCTCCCTATCGCACTTGTCGTGACCTCATCTTCACATCTCTCACTGCTGCCGTCCTGTCCTGTCTCAAAACACTCATGAACGTCGACGACCTTGAGCAGCTTGCATCAGAACTCACGTTCGAAGAGCTCGAAGCCCATGCATTGGAGATCCACCAACGCTTTGACATCAACACTGTGACCATCCTGCGCGAGGAGCGCAACGCGCAGGTCGAAGATCGCCTCGACGAACACAAGCGCGTACTCGAAGCTGCAGGCAAGAGCGACAAGGACGAACTTGATTCCCCGTTCAATCCCCTCGTCAATCTCAACACAGGAGACATGGTATATGAGAACACTGTCTTATTCCTCCGTGACGCCCTCCTTCTACGCGAGTTCGATGACGCTATCAGGGCTGGATGTTCCGGCCGAATTCTTCGCACTCTCAAAGTTCTCGCATTCGCATATCGAGGGCTTGGCCGCACAAAGTACGCTCATGAGGTGCTGCATCTCGTGCACGGACTCACCACGGTCTGGCCGGAACGTTTACGGTGAGTCACTGCCATGCTTCATTTTACCTTTGGCGCCTCACTCACTTAGTTAGTACTTCGCAGCGTGATCGTGCTCAAGAACTGGCTCGTGAACCCAACCGGGATGGAGAACGCATGGGTACCAGTTGATCTGTTGCAGGAGCATATGAATTTGATGATCAAGGTAAGTTTCTCTACGCTTTTTTGTTCCGCTACCCACAATCAAACGGCGCAGAGTATCTACAAAGCCCGTGGCAGCAACATGTCGTGGTCATGGTTCGAGATGATCTCACCATGCATCATCACCCTCCGCCATCTCGCGACGCAAATGAATGCATTCCTTGGAGACAAAACCGGTAACAAACACGCCTCCCCTGAGGCCTCTCGCGACGTTGCCTCGTTGCGGGAGTCTATGGAGACACATCGGATTTTTGTCGTTGAGAAGGGACGGGTGCTTACTGGGATGAAGAAGCCCGTGGTACCCAACGCCGTTGACGTTGGATTCGAAGCAACACCGGGCCCCCTCGAAGATTACAACAAGACGTTCGAACGGTTCCAGGTCCGCCTCCGCCGAGTGCCACTTCTCGACCTCCTCGCTCGCCGCACAGCAACCCCGGCTGCGTCTGCCTCGGAGGCCGTAGTACTACAGGTTCGTGCACCCGCCTTTTTCCTCGTGCGCCGCGCATCCTTACAAGCACACATGGCAGCCTTCGCAAGCAGTCAATGACGGCCTCGAGGACAACTTTGAAGACGGCCCATTGGGAGAATGTGATGCTGAGGGTCTGACTCCCGGTGAGCTCGATAGCGCAGCCGCCTTCGCGCAGGAAGAAGTACCGGATTCATTAGAGGACGCTCTCGAGTACGACTAGTAACTACTTATATACCATTCCCCTTCTCCGTCCGTCTGCGAGTACCCAGTGTGCCGCCTTCGCGGGCGATGCGGGCGATGTGGCAGAGGCGGCGCGCACGCGTGCGCGGAGGACTGGTCGCGCGCGCGAGGCTTGTCGCGCGCGAAGCTGGTCGCGCGCGAGAGATGGGTCGCGCGCCCTCCGTGACGCCTCCCGAGGCAGCCGTCGTCACGACCCGTTATGCCTGGGGGAGCGGCGTGCCCCAACGAGCCCGTTTGGGCGGGGGAGTGGAGCGAGGGGAGGGCACTCACGTCACGTGCTCTCCTTTTATGGTGCGCCTGCCAAAACCCCCACCAGTTCGACCAGCCGTTTGAGGAGGGACGACGAAAACGGATGGATGATCGAGCCTAAGAGGGACGCCCCCGCGGCGTGCTCGAGGCACAGGCGCCGCTATTCTTGGACGTCATCTTCGAATAGACGACAGTTCACGCCGGCGCAGTCCATCGCTCGACAACGCGTTCGCCTTACATATAGCCCTCATCGCAATGACCCCCGTCGCTTTCCCTCCTCCCCTTCTCCCTCTCCCCATGCGTCTCTCCTCCGACCTCCGCCTGACCTCCGCCGCCCTTCTCGTCGCTTCGTCCCAAGCCCTCGCGGCGTCCTTCTCCCTTCTACACGACTACTCTGGCGCAAACTTCTTTGACGGTTGGGATTTCAAAGATGGGTTTGACGATACCACCAACGGTGCGCCCCTTTGACCTCTCATCTTCATTCCCTCCCCTCATTCTCTGTCCTTCCTCAGGCGACGTGAACTACCTCGGCCAAAGCCAAGCGTCCAGCTCCGGCCTCGCTGTCATCCAAAACAACCAGGCCATCCTCAAGGTCGACAACTCCACCTTCGTCCCCTTCAACCAGAAACGCAACTCGGTACGCCCCCTTGCCTACCCCGCTCCACTCCCTCTCACGCGCCCCGTATCCGTGCCTTCCGTACGCACCGTAGGTCTTCCTCACCACCCACGAGTTCTTCCAGCTCGGCTCCGTCTTCGTATTCGATGCCGCCCATATCCCCGCAGGCTGCTCCGTCTGGCCCTCCTTCTGGACCCGCGGGCCCAACTGGCCCAGCGGTGGCGAGATTGACGTCCTCGAAAACGTCAACCTCGCGACCACCAACCAGATGACGCTCCACACCAACCCCGGCTGCACCCAAGCGAGCGGCGTCTCGCAACTCGGCAAGACGAGTGGGACCGACTGCTCCCTTGGCGCCAACTCCTCCCAGGGCTGCACCGTAGTCGAGAGCCAGTCCAACAGCTTCGGATCTGGGTTCAACACCGCGGGGGGAGGCGTGTGGGCGACCCAGTTCGATGACTCCGGCATCTTGTGAGTTCTCATACACTGTTGCGAGGGCGCATGTTGAACTGTTTCCGAACCCCAGCGTCTGGTTCTGGACTGTGAGTATTTTTGTTCCGCGTCCCAGGACGCGTCTCCTGACGCGTTTTTGTTCTTCCAGCGGGACGCAGTCCCCTCTACCGTTTCAAGCGCGACGGACTCAATCGACCCCTCGACGTTCGGCACGCCCTCCGCCGCTTGGCCGTCTTCGAGCTGCAACATCTCCCAATTCTTCACTCCCCAGCAGCTCGTCCTCGACATCACCCTCTGCGGCGACTTGTACGTGCTCTCCTACGTCATCCCCGACCCAGCGGGAATTCATGTGGCAGAACGCTGACTGCGGATCCCTGACAGCGCCGGCACGCCCTCCGTCTACACCCAGACCTGCGGCTCCCCAGGCGAGCAGGCGAACACGAGCAGCTGCGTACGTGCCCCGCCCGCGCCCCCGTCCCTCCCCGCTCCCAGTCCGCTCACGTCCCCCCGCGCGCGCAGTACGTCGAGAACGTGATCAACAACGGCTCCGCCGCCGACAGCTTCTACGCCGAGGCGTACTTCGCGATCAACTACGTCAAGGTCTTCACCTCGGGCGCCGCGCCCCTCGACCCCGTCGTCTCCGGCTCGAGCACGCTCGGGCTCACGTCCATCACCGACTCGTTCGCGACCGGCACCGGCACCGCCGCCTCGGGCTCGACCTCGGGCTCGACGAAAGCTGCGGGCAGTGGAGGCAGCGGTGCGGTGCCGCTCCTCGCCCCCGGCGGGTGGGGCGCGGCGATCGCGGCGGTTGTCGGCGCGCTGGGCGTCGCTGCGCTTCTCGGGCCCCTCTGAGCTTCGCACGCGGACGCACGGACTTGTTCGTGGCCGCAGGAGACCGCCACTGCGATACTACCTGTACCACATCGATTGAAATAGACGTTGACATACTCGAGTCGATACTGCACACGCCGCAGACTAGTACTTCATACCCTAACCCTTTGCAATGCATGGAATGCAGCGTCTCGGATGAACCCCCAATCTTATGCAAATACAGTGCGCACAAACGGCATTTTGTCATACGACAGAGACAGTCTGCTACATACGACAGCGCGATCCTCATAGCGGGATTACATGTGTGCATGCACAGCACCAGCACAGACAACATACCATATAGACAGTAACAGCATACGCGTACACACTCTCACCCACAAGCACCCCGCCCCCGCGTCCTCACCGGATGAGGCACTTGTCGAACACGCTCTCCCGCGGCTCCGCGCGCTCGCGCGTGCCCCACACCGCCCACATCTTCATCGCCTCCTCGGACGGGCAGATCGTGAACACGCTCGTCCCGTCCGGCGAGAGGCACGCGTGCCCGATCGGGCCCGTGTGCGCGCCGACGGAGAGCACGCGCTTCAGGCTCGGGTACGCGTGCACCGCGAGCGCGTTCGTGTACGACGTGCGCGCCGAGATCGGGCGCTGCCGCCCCCCACCGCCGCCGCCGCCGCCGCGCCCGCGCGCGTTGGAGCCCGCGCCGGCGGAGCTCGAGCCGGCGCTCGAGCCGGGGCCGGAGAAGATGGAGGAGGGGAGGTCGGGGCAGGAGTCGTGCGCGCCGCCGCGGGGGAGCCAGGAGATGCCGTGGGTGGAGAGCAGCTCCTTGCAGTGCGGGGACCAGACGAGGGAGGTCACGGACGTGTTCAGCGCGAGCATGTGCACCGGCGGCGCGGTGCCCAGCGTGCCCTTCGTGTTCCAGACCCGGATCCGGCCGTCGGGGTACATCGTGCCCGTCGCGAGCAGCTCCGGCTTCCACGGGCACCAGGCGAGGGCCTGCAGGGGAGGTGAGCGTCGGGGCGAGCCCGCGAAACGAAGGCAGACGGAGACGCACCTTGACGGGAGCGCGGTGTTTGAGCTTGCTCCCGAGCCGGCCGTCCGCGGTGAGCGCCTTGCTCGCCCGCGCATCCCACACCTGCACGACCCCCGCGTGGTCCGCGCTCGCGAGGTACATCCCGTCGTCCCGCCACGCCAGCCCGTGCACCTTGTCCCGGTGCAGGTCCAGCCGCGCGACCGGGGCCGCCGCCTCGCTCTCCCGCCGGTCGCGCAGCACGACCGCGCCGTCGCCGAGCCCGTACGCGAGCACGTCCCCCGTCCAGCTCAGGCCGCCCACGTCCGCGTCCTCGCGCTCCGTCCACTTCGCGGTGGCTTCGCCCACGTCCGCGTCCCAGAGGTGGAGCTCGCCCGCGCCGGTGCCCGCCGCGAGCACCTCCGGGCTCTGGCGTGCCCACGCGATGGAGACGAGCCGGCCGCGCGGGCGCGGGGGCAGCTTCAGGAGGTGGGTGATCTTGCGCGTCGAGAGCTCTTGGTAGTAAACGTCTAATCCGCATGCAACGGCGATCGCATTTCGCGCGGACCAGGACATCGGGTAGGCGAACAGGTCTGAGGGGATGCCGGGGCCGTCGAGTGCTAGCACAAACTGGCGACGGGAGCCGAGATTTGAGGCCGCTGACGCGGGGGATAGCCCAGGCTTAGTTTGCGTGAGCTGCCGGAAGTTGAAGCGGTGGCGCTTCAGATGATTTTGGTTCTTCTTGGATGGCTCGGAGTTGGTGTCGGTGTATTGGAGGATGCGGTCGTCGGCGAGCCCGAAGAAGCGTGCGATGCGTTGGGTGCGAGGTGTTGCTTGAAGGGGTACAGCGATTTCTTTGGGAGCTGAGATGAAGCGATCGGACTGGTAGAGCAAAGAGTCAGTGAATGCAATCCGAGCAACAGTGCTGAACCACCCATAATAGCAATGTGGCCCTCCCACTATTACCGACGCAAAAAAAACGAGAACATGGACAACGGGTTTACCGTGTTCCTTCGTTACGGAAACAGACTGGAGGATATGACCGTGTTCACTGGTTGCCATACCTCCTATGACAATAGTTTGTCTCCACGAACACAACGCCCCTCAGACCCGTTCGCTCTTTGACATCCAGCCTTTCGAGAGCATACCACTGCAGCTCCCCTCTGTCCATCATTCTTGCTCTCCCCAGCCACCATCTCCGCCAACCAGATATCGCCCGAAACGGAAACTCACCACATCCACCTTAGCGTTATACGACGTCTCCGCCTGCAGTCCAATCTCGAATTCCCGCTCACGCTCGTCCGATAGCGACATCCGCCGCCGCTTGGTCGCAGAGAACAGGTTCGGGGTGACCGCGCCCGGGGCACCGCGCTTGCGCGGCGGGAGCGGTGTGCGGCACACGAACGGATTCGCGGGATCGTCCATGATTGGTTTCTGGGTGTCTCTTGCGTCGAGGTGTGAAAGCAGGCGCCAGGTGTTACAGCAGGTTTGAAAGTAGGTGCCAGGTGTTACAGCAGGTTTGATAGCGTCGGTGAGGGGGAGGGGGGAAGGGGTGGTGGTGGTGGTTGGTGGGAGAGAGGCTGCGGGCACGTGGCCTTGTCGCGGCCCCGCAATTCATCCTCCGACGGACATTCCCCAACACCAGTCAGATCTTGGTCAGATCGGGCGCCGTTTGGAGTACATATGAACAATGGGTAAAGGCTTTGCGTCGGTGTTGGCATTCGTGCGTTCTCAGTGCTGTGGGCCACTCCTCAGCTAGTAGTCCGAGCTCACGAGGCTACTCAACGTACGCGACTGCGTGTGGTTCATCCTGGATTCCGATCTG